CTCGCTCAAATGGAGCTGCCACGAACATTCAATTTGATAGTCGATTCCAATGCTTCGCTTACGTCGCATCATGCTTGGTTTGGCTTTGGATATCATGGCGCATTCACTCCACTCGTAATTTCTAATTAGGCAGGAAACGTAAAGCTTTCCGAGATTGGCGTGTTTTAGTATAGAACTACACCTATTCAAAGCTTCAAGAAACAATGTTATATATGCTTCAGTGCGATACTTTACACAGTTGCATATGGCTTAAAGGTAATTCTTAAAAAACGGAGCAGACATTCATACATACAATTGGTTTCCTTTTCGTACGTAGTTTTGTATTAAAAGCCAATATTTTGGCGTATTCTTCATAATGCAACAAAAAATTTTTATTTTGTACAAAAGAAAAACCAAATGAAAACTGCATAAAATACAGACGGATATATGTTCAAAAAAGTAAGAACATTATAGTCGGATAACGCCGAAAATTAAATTACCTGCACCCTTGCGCCTAGTACAGTTCTTCGCTCGTTTTGATAACACATAACATGGCGATGGCAGTGATTCAAATTTAGCAAACTTAATTTAATTGCCAAAAATTTTACTATTTTTAAAATTTCGTCATAGAAAATAAGAAATTAAACTTACCTGCCATATAAGGATTTGCTTCTCATTATAGCTCTTATATATGTTGGGGTCTACATTATTGACTCATGTGATCCAAATTCCCTGCTATTACTTTTTTTGCTAATTTGCTAATGTGGATCAATTTTTATCATAAGATATTAGAAATTAAATCTCTTTCTGAAAGGCTTACTGTTCATGAGAAGCGTTATATAAACTGGAAGAAATAGGCCCATGTGTTTCATATTGAGTTCACTTAATTTTTAAGTCGAATTTCTACCATAAACTAATTTTCATTATGAAACTATTAGCTATTAGGCTTTTTTGACATATAAGCGTTCACATTTCCTAAGAATTCTTATATCCAAAGAATTGGCCTACTTGGTCCAAATTCGGTAAGGTCGACTTCTTTGTCAATTTATTACTATGAACTAATTTTCAACATGAAATATTAAAAATTAGACAATCCTAACATATAAAGATAAAGTTTTCGAATGTTTATATAAGAAGGGGTTTAAAATTTTAGCCCAATTGAACTCAGTACAACTTAGAATGTCAAAATACTATTACTCAGCGACTTTTGTCAAGAAATTGTAAAAATTGCAATTTTCTTCGGAAAAATAGGCCAATTCGAACCATTTTTAATAGTGTTCGTCTTTGAATCAAATCACGTCAGCGTACCAAATTTCACCAAAGTGTGTCAAAAATTGCAACACTTGAACACTATTTGCATGGACAAACATTAAACGGACAGACGGACAGACACACAGACAGAGCTACATATATCCGCACAATCTCAACGTATTCTGTACCGCAAATGGTGTAGCATATAAAAAGTATTTGTTGTTACACATGTTATAGTTTAAAAAAATGTATAAAACACTATAATCGGCTCATTACAAACCTAATATCATCTACCGTCTCTATGATAGGTACAAGGATACTATTATGAAAATTTTTGGCTTATAAAGTGCATCTTATAACAACTGAAAAACTGATTAGGAGTATATTAAAATAAAAATTATTCCTACGCACGAGTCTATCTGCAGTTAGAATAATGTTGTAACAAAAAACAAGAAAGAAAAACGAACATTCTTTTTCATTCATTCATTAAAATGATTACAAATATGTCATAATATGTAACACATAGCGGAAATTGCCCACAAACGTACATTATCCGGTTTGCTGCTAAAGAATTTTTTTTTAATATTATACTATATAAGTCGCCGTAATAGTTTAATAAAATAAACATAAAAAATTATAATAAAAATTTTCCAACACTTTTGCATTTAGTATGCCGTTAAACAACTTTTATTACTTTTAATTAAATTCCTTAATTACAAAACTATTTAATTACTTCCTTGTATGGGTGAATTATTAATTTGCATTATTTTTATACCCACCACCGAAGAATAGAGATACATTCATTTCGTTCATACGCTTGCAACATCCGAAAGGAACTTTCAGAGAGCTAATAAAGTATATATATTCTTGATTAAATTTAAAACCGGTTTAAGCATGTCAACCCGTCCATTTGTCTGCCAGTTCGTCCATCCCCTTATATAATATCTGCGGTAAATATTCGTCTGATTACAAAAATCAACATATTAGCTTATAATTCCGTGAAAACATTGGAAGTGGTTGCTCGCAAGTCGGTATTGAAAGTGGGCTAAATCAGCGCAACCTCAAATGATATTACTCCAATTTTCGAAAAAAAAAATTGATTTTTTTCTCATTCAAACTGCATCATTTTTGTATTCTATTTTAATATGAAGTATAAAAGATTCGATCACAACCAAATACAATCTAATCATAATTTTTTTTTATACCTATACCCGAAGAATGAGAACTATATTTCATTTTGTCAAAACGTTTGCAACGCCAAGAAGAAAGCATCAGACATCCTACAGAGTATATATATTCTTACTCAGCATCAAATTTTATTCAAATTCAAAGACATTCCCCTGGTCGCAAAAAAAACTTATCGAGTTCAAATTTAACAAAAATATTGGAAATTCGTGCTCGCAGGTTGGTGTGGAGAATGGTCCAAATCGGTCGAAGGACGCAGCCACAGCCCTAAGTAAACTGAGAACACCTCTTTTTTCTCAAAAGGAATAAAAGATGGGTTTTTGCTCATAACTCATAAACTACACCAGGCGAAAATACATGAGACAAAAATGGAAAAAATTGACCAAACCGACACAATATTATAGTGTGTCAATACCTTCATAAGGCGTAGAAACAAGCTTCAAAACCCCCATAAAGTATAGAAATTCTTAGTCAGTTCCAAATTTGGAATGGACCTAAACGTGTCCGCCTACTCGTCTGTCCAACTGTGCGCCTGCGCAACCATGTAGTATTTGTGGTAAACATTCTTCCCCTAGCGAAAGTGTAGATAACGCCTATATATTTACAAAAAAAATTGAAAGTGAGTTAAACTTTTCCAAGGTCCACAGCGCCCAAACGCCTATCCGCCTATCTCCTCCATGCTAACATTGATAGGTATAAACGATAAGGTCACGACTGAACGCAATATTCCTACTTGTTTTTTATTATAACATAAACGGTTTGCATGAAAACAGCGTTGTAATAAAATGTATTAAAATACCAAAAAATTGTTGGCAAACTCTTACGCTTGGGCTTGGGTAATCGCATTCAGGTAAGGGTCATATAACTAACCTTCAATCTTTCAATCTTTGACATATCATTGCGTACAGAAAATTTTAAATATTCACTTGTCTTCTTTGATATACAGTTACGATGTACATCTATGAAGAATCTTTGAACATAAGATTTCTAAGTGTATACACAAATCACAATAATTTATATGATTACTGCCTTATATCACTTGTGGTACAAGGTATGTGAAATTTGCGTGGACGTACGAGAGCAAAGAACGAGGTGAACTTGTTTACATAATGAAAAAAATATTTGTTTATTCCTCAAAATCAATTTTATTGGCTTAATAACATTCAAATAATGTTTCTTATTAACAGCTTGACTTGGGGAATGTAATTCATAAGTCGCTCTCGAAGAACTATCAATCGGAAAAGAAACTATTTATATGACTATTTATTTAACAGACGGATAATCCTAGGTGCACTCCGTATTTGAAACTGCCCAAGAATCTACGCACTTTGTGGAGTCTCGGAAGATTTCTTCTGGACGTTGCAAAGATTTTGATAAAACGAATATACCCCTCATCCTCCAGTGATGGATATAAAAGGAACAAGTAAGAAAATTACATTTGGCTTTAAGTGCGTCTTTTATACCCACCATCGCCAACTTAACAAAGATTAAAGATAAAATCGAAAAATTAAGTTTGCTCTCTCTAAAATGACAGGCGCACTTGATTAGATAGATTAGTGATAGAATATCGTATATCTTGTAGTTTATGGACAATGAAAAGGAAACCGTGGCTCTGACGTATTTCACTCCTTTTCAATATCAGCTGCGTGCAAGAGCTTCTAATAATTTTACATAATTTGAAAGTGTTATCATAATTTTTACGATCTGGAAAGTATTGAAAGTACAGTATTGACATTAGCAAGACAGACAGACAAACAAAGAAATGCATAGACGGGCATGCTTAAATCCAGTCAAAATTTGATCAAGATGAAGTCTCTGAACCTCTCTGCAAACTTTTAGACAAAATTCCTATATCTCAATCCCTTAGTGGTAGGGACATAATTGTTATGGTATTGTAAAGAAATTGGATATAAATTTTTATCGTCTGCTTTTTTTAGTTTATAAGTATAATTTTGCCATGTTTTAACTTTCGCGAACGGGAAAATATTTACCGCACACATCCTCGTAGACGAAGAAAGGCACAAACAGGCATGTCTACATCGATTCAGGATTTTGGACTGATCAAGAAAATATGTATGGTTGCGAGGGTCCCTGAGCACTCTTTTCATGTGTTACAATACGACGCGTACATATCTCCTGAACTTTGGAGGTAGATATAAAGACGTTATCAATAATCCTGATAGAAGAGTTAATTGTACAGCGCCTTTCGCTAAAAATAAAATGTCTTTTAAAACTATTCAATACAAAATACATTTTCGTATTACATTTTAACCAAGCCGGGCTATTAAAAAAAGTCCATTCATATAAAATGTCAAGTCACTTGTTTTCTTTTTATAACCACAATAATGTCTGCATTGCTTGTTATTCGCAGAGTTTTACAAAACAATTCTCTCATTAAGCTGCTTTTCAATCAGTAACATATTCTTTAGTACGCATTTTTTATTAAAAGATTCTTAATTGCGCTTAATAATGAACACAGAGATGCGAAAGCTTTTCTCTTCTTTAGTCTATTATTTATTTACAAGTACTTTTCTGTCCTTTTAATCTACTTGGTTTCTTTTTTTGTTTTTTTCTTTCTTTCGCAGCCACATTTAGGTGGCGAGAAGAGACGTAAGCGTCTTCGATTACGTTTTGGAAGGTTAACAAACGAAAAAGCCAATACTACGACTACGCTTGGACTTGTTGAAGGCAATTCAACGAATACTGTCAACACAATGGAAGTGGAAGACACAGAATTTAGTAGTACCAACGTTGAACATAAAAATCGGGCAGGCAACGAAGCAACCACCACTAATTTAAGTACAACGGAAGTAAGTAAAAGTGTATACTTAAAAGGGAAGAACTCAACATAAACAAGTAACAAAATTATATTCTGTCGTGACCGAATCTTTTGTGAGCATCACCGTTATCCTAAAGTAGAGAAAAACAGTAAAAGAACCACATTTTCATGCTATATTTTCTTTTTTAAAAAAAAAATTTTTGGTCGCATATGCGTGTGGGCGTTTTAGGCGTGTCTTTAAAAAAGTTTTTACTTCAAATCTCTCAGAAACATTGTAAATTCTTACACGCACGTTGGTACTGAAATTGGGCCATATTGGTCAAAGGGAACGCGTACAACGCAACGTAACCTAAAAACAAAAAAAATATAGTTCTTTGCTCGGTACTTATAAACCACATCAGATATGACGATAAATATTTGCATTTATGTTCTACGAGTCGTCCTGGAACGCTTGTACAGAAATGATAAACAGACCTATGTGGTCCGAATTCAGTAAAATTAACATCTTTACTAATTTAGTATTATGAAACAATTTTCACCATGAAACATTGAAAATTATATCTTGTTATCGCATAAAGTTTTAGTTTCGGTAGAACGGCTGTATAAAAAGGGTTTCAAAAAATTTCCCCCACCAAACCAATCCTTTCAGACCAATTTAGAATGTCAAACTACTATTATTCAGCGAATTTTGCCGAAAAACTTAGAAAATTAGAATTTTTTTTCATACAACGACTTTTCAAAATAAAGCACAATACGAATAGTGGTCGAAAAAGTGAACCAATCCGAACCCTTTTCAATACCGTTCGTCCTTGGGGCGAAACCAGGTCTGTGTACCAAATTTCATCCAAATATCTCAAAAGTGGCGAACTGTAAGTTGATCGCAAAAATGCATCAATAGACATTAGTTGGAAAGACGGACATACAAGCTTGAATCGATATGATAAAAGCTAAGTCTACCTTACCCTATACCACAAGTGGCATATAAAGAAAAGCTTTCTGACAAATTTTTCTTTGCACGAAGTCAAAGATAATAATCGAGGTTATTAGGCGTATTAGGTGCTTGCAAAAGTCCCTTTTACTGCATCTGTCGAAGACAAAATCGCATGTTTCACATCTTATAGTTTGTGAACCGAAGAAAAAAAATTGTATAACCGAATTCATAATGAATGCCTTATGTACATAAACTAGAAATTATTTAATAAATATGTTTGTTTATTTAGTTTAGTTCAGTATATATTATATAATTGCTTGTCTAGAGAATTAATATAAAACCAAATTATCAGCTTAATGACTTTAAACTAAACAAACGAAATTTAATTTATTGTGAAAAGCTAACAACAAAATTTTAAATTTCATTCTCGGATTCTATTAAAGCGTATACATGCCGTATTATTTCATTAAAAGCGACAAGTCCGTTCTAATAAATCGCACACGCACACACACACACTGCGTGCGGCAGTCGTTGTCATGGTTTTATGGTAATATATTTTTTTAAATACCGGCGAACGTTTAGCAATTTCGAAGAACTTTAAGATTGCCGTTCGAAATTCAAATTAAAAAATTAATTAAACATAAATACTTTTTATTAGTCGTTTTTTAATCTCAAAAAAATTTTAAATGATTTTCAGTAATGATAAATATCATGAAACTTTGCATTCAATCAAATTTACTTAATCGTAATAACGCTGAACTAATCTTAACAAAATGATTAATCTCAGTCCACTTGCCAAGCAAAAGTGCTGCTGTCGGAAATAAATAATATTTTCATTTGTTTCTTTTTTTTATAGGCACCCACAACGTCGTCCACTCAAATAGCAACTGTATCCCACCTTGTAGCTTTAGCGCATCGCGAACAACAAATCTCATCTAATGAAGCAGCATCTGAAATGCAATTGCAATCGGAAATCAAATCAATAAATTTAGTAGAAAATCCTTTGGGGCCCAATAGTGTTATAACCGCATCTAAAATTCATATTGTTGAAGATAATGGCAATTTGAGTACAGCAAACGGTACTGAAAAGATATTGCCTACTACGCAGCCTACAACGTCAGAGACGGAAGTCTTAGAGGATCCTCAAGTGCAACAACAATTTCAACAAGTTGAACAACATTCGGTAACAGCTCAAGTGACGGCAATAAAATTGAAACCTTTAGCAGTTCCTTCAAATCTCAATGCTGCAACATCGATTTCTGCATTAGCTCCACAAACACCTACAGTTTCAACTCCACCAGCACCTACTTCGGGCCAGGAAAGCTCTGCCAATGTATCAAGCCAAGTGACACCAATATCACGACCAAAAAATCCTCAATTATTGGCCAGCGTAACAAATCCTGTTCATAAGGTTACAAAAAGAAAAGAAACCCTGGAGGCGAAACGTGAACGAAAAGCAGCGAAAACGTTAGCCATAATAACGGGCGCATTCGTAGTTTGTTGGTTACCTTTTTTTGTAATGGCTCTTATGCTGCCATTGTGCGAAACGTGCCAAATCAACGACAGTATTGCCTCCCTGTTCCTATGGTTAGGTTATTTTAATTCTACTCTCAATCCCGTCATATATACAATATTCAGTCCGGAATTCCGTCAAGCCTTCAAACGAATTCTATTTGGCGGACACAGACCTGTTCATTATCGTAGTGGGAAATTGTAAACTATAGCGTTTAAGTACATATGCATATATATGCAAGAAGTTTCATTACATACATACATACATACTAACAACATGCATTCATACTAACATACATAACAATAAATAGTACTATGCATGTGTTCACATAAACCTTACGTTAACTATTTCTCAAAAAACAAAAAAAAAAAACCCAAAGAGCGTTCCAAAATAAGTTGATGTCAAAAATTTTTAAAAATACTTAACAGAGTGTATTAACATCATATTTCTGGGTTAAAAAAAAAGATATATGGCCAAACAGTGCGTTCGTCTAGACTTGATGTACTCATTCTCATAACAAAGCCTCCCCCAGCATATTGGTACGTTGGCTGCATAGCATTAGTCTTCTGAAATATTCGTTCCAGATGTTTGGTGCACTCTAAGAGAAATAATATTAGCGATTAATAGATGTAATCTGCCCGCCACGTAGCAAGACCTTCCAATAATAACATGATTTCGTTGATAATTTTCTAAGCCACACGGCTGTCATATTTATATCAATTAACTGACGCGACAAAAATTCGAAGGTAGACTTTCAATATTTACAAAACCATCACACAATTTCCGTGCGTTGCAATCTCTTCATAACACATTCGCTTTACTTGGAACAATTATTTTTCTCTGCTAAAACTAGGCACTCCTCGACAATATCTACAAATCGCACGAATTTTGCATATCATCTCCGATTATTACGTTTTTCAAAGCCCTGGCGTGAATTACAATAATTCCGATCCGCCTGAGTGGCCGAAGGCAAGGAGTCTCGACTAGCAACTCAATGGTTGTGGGTTCAAATCTCAAGTGCAGTAGAGTTTTTAATAAAACCCGATAGCCTTACATGCTAGTGTTTTTTAAGAGTTTAGTCTTAGAATTTATTTCTCTGGTGAAATTTAATAACAATAGTAATAATAATAATAATAATAATAATAATAATAATCATAATAATAATACAATAATTCCGGTGAGCAAATAAAAGAGTATCTTATATAAAAATTTCATTAAATCGATTTCTTATATAAGGAATTACCTATAAGGAATTAAGAAAATTACTGCGGTCTCAAGCGCGGGTGTTCATAATCATAGGAAGGTTCTCAAGATCTTGCTTAAATCGAGTCCAAATTTAATGCTGATCAAGAATATATATACTTTCTGAGAACTCCAAAGCTTCCTTCATTTTGACAAAATCAATACGCCTCTCATTCTTTGTTGATAGGCATAAAAAGGGCAGAAATGGAATGGAATATAATAGGCGATAATGATTTTCGTCATTTTGGTTTACAAAATGTTAAATCCTCCATAATAAGCATATATAAGAACTTTCAATGGTTTTGCCAGATTTGAAGCCAATGTCGTCATTCACAAAGCCAGGAGAATATTTACCAGTGTTCGAAAATTTGGAAACATAAAATCATGAGAACGTCCTTCTATTTTAAGAAAATGAATGCATTCCCATGCGTTTAATATACATGTGTATTAAATAACGGGATTACAGCAGTTCGAAATAATCGAAAGATGCCCAATGCAGTCATGTTGAGTTTCGTTTAATAGGTGCCATCTATAGAAATTGCCTTACCGCTAGTATATTGCACTGCTTCAATACTGATGTTGCTCGTCGCTCCATATTGTAGGAGATTTAATCTAAAATAAAACAAATTAAATTTAAAGAAAGTTCCTGAGGATCCTTCATTTTTGTTACTAGTAGTTATGTCTGCTCAACTTAATTTTTATGTCTGCTTCGTCATAGACACAGGTATAACATGTACAGAATTTAGCCAAGTATTTCATTTCCTTTTATACGTGTAACTGCAATCACCTAAAATACGTTAACATTGTACCGCTTTTATTACTATTTAACTAAGATCATTAGAAATTTATTTACATTTAATTAAAATTTTTTGCTTATGTGGCTGTCTCTATTCATTTTGGATAGAAATAAAAATTTAATAAGAAAGTGATAAACAATTTCGCAATAATTTTTTATATATAATTTATTATTTAAAAAAAAACACGTATAATTTGTATATATGTATATTTAATTTCTATAACCAAAAGTGTTTTAATTAAATGTAAATGCAATTCATAACACATATATATATATATATATATATATATTACATATATGCTTGTGTATATCGATGCTTAATGGCATATGTGAAAATGTAAAGTCTTTCTAGCGGTAATTTATGAAACCGTGGATTTCATAACAAAGAAAACCCAAATAATCATCATAATGCAAGAGCACTGACCCTCTACCAGATAAGTTTTTTTCACTGTACAAAGCAGAAAAAAAAAAGCAGAAAACCATTAGAAAAAGAAATTCAATTCATTTAAAACGGAATATGATGTTTATTGTAGCATATTCATGCGATAGAAAGGCAAATTTTAGCAAATTTTCTCCGCCTTTTCACAGCTTCAATGTGTCAAACACAAATGCATCAACGAACAATTGACTGCGTTTATAGTTCATCCAACGTTGGCAAGGCAACCTTAATAGATAGTTGTATTTGAAATCTCACTATTTCTCACGTTTACGGCAACACTGTTGCCCATTACTAACATGATTTCTGGGTAATACCAATCTCCGAAAGATATATACATCAAAATTTCGCGATATTCCGACTATTAGCTTACAAATTACGGCAGTTTTAGTGGAAATATCTTAATTTTGTGTGTGGAATTCAAAGAACAAAATGTTGCGTTTTTGATGAGAGAAAGTACCGTTCTAAATCAGCGTTGATTTGAAAATTGTTGTCTGTCGAAAAAATAAATTTCCGAATGGTTTGCCAAACAGATATAGAAGAATACAAAGGGGACAGACGGATAGAAAAGCTTTAACCGGTTCAGTGATGCAGAATTTGATACCGGAGCGATCGGTATAGTAAAAGATGGGCCTATCCCAAATCCTTCCGGTTTTTGCTTACATTCACCTACTTACATACTCTCGTACCACACATAGTCTAGGGCACAAAAGAGTTGAAATTTTCAAAATTTCTTGAAAAAAAAAACGCATAACGCAACAGCATCTCGACGTATTGATCTAAAAAAGTTTAGATCCGGTGGAGTACTTCCTTGGGCCCATCCCCTAACCACTACCATGAAATGCGGGCGGTTGCATAGCACAAAAACTTAATTTTTAATGCTTCATGTCGAAAATAGATTCTGAATAGCAAAGTGACATAAAGATTGGCTATACCAAATTTAGATTATATTAGATTAGGGAAAAAGAAATCCATTATTTTTATATGAACTTCAGGACTTTATTTAACATGCTTTGGATTGTCCGATTTGGGTCAAATATGCACCGTTTTGTTGTATGATTTGTTGCCATTTTAAAGGTGACTTCAAAATGCCTCTCTCATGGAAGTCCTGGTCTCTATTTGCAAAAAACTCTAGTAGTCGATTTTCACAATCCTCCCTAGATTCCAATTTTTTTGTCATTAAAGAAATTTTGCAATGCACGAAAAAGATGATAATAGCTTGGTGCCAAGACCGGACTGTATGGCGGATGCATTAAAACTTCCCAACCAAGCTCCCGAAGTTTCTGGCGAGTCACTGTAGATGTGTGTGGCCTAGCGTTGTCCTGGTGGAACACGACACCTCTCCTGTTGGCCAATTCTGGCCGTTTCTGGTCAATCGCTATCTTCAAACGGTCCAGTTGTTGACAGTAGTGATCAGAATGTAGCGTTTGGCCATATTGAAGCAACTCATAATAAATAATCCCCTTCCAGGCCCACCAAATGCATAGCAAAACCTTCCTGGCCGTTTGAGGTGCTTCACCGCTCTTTGACCACGATCGTTTTCGCACAAGGTTATCGAATGTGATCCATTTCTCATCTCCAGTCACCATCCGTTTAAGAAATGGGTCTATCTCATTCCGTTTGGCCAAGGCTTCGCAGATGGAAATTCGATCCATCATGTTTTTTTCTGTTAATTGGTGTGGCACCCAAACATCGAGCTTCTTTTTGAATCCAGCTTTGTGTAAATGGCTTAAAACTGTTTTATGGTCGATTTTTAGCTCCTGGGCGATGTTACGATTGCTAACATGCCGGTCAACTTCGATCATTTCTCCGATTTTATCGACATTTTCGACGACCGGCTTACCTGTGCGAGATGCATCTTTAACATCAAAAATTCCTGAACGCAATCTACGAAACCAAAATTGCACATAAGTGGCTGTTACAGTATCGGAACCATAAACACCATTCACCATTTTAGCCGCCTGGCTTGCATTTTCGCCTTTGTCAAAGAAAAACTGTAAAATGTACCGAATTTTCTCTTTGTTCACTTCCATTTTTAACACGCTGTAACTCACAACTAAATGCACCAAACAAAAAACAGCAAAAGAATTTTTTTTACTGCGAAATGTCACCTTTCCAACGAGCATAAATATGAAATTGTTTGATCGATACTTTACGAGAAATCTATCAGTGCAGCCCTCTACCGAAAAAATAATGGATTTCTTTTTCCCCAAACTAATATATATCTATTTTTTGAGCTTCAGCGCATTTAAGGTTTCTCAGAAAAAGTAAACATTTACACCTTTTAGTATTTTATGACGAAAATAGCTGAAGACAAATAAAATGTTTAACAAGAAAAATTAAGGGGAAAGCAGCAATTTCGACATATTTTACATTTTTACTATCGAGAATGTAGAAAAGCTGTTTAAGCGAGAAAAAATTTATCCGACGTATTTGAACAAGATGTATTGACAGGACACCAATACCATAATTGATTTTGAAAATTTCGATCCGGGAACTTTTGATCTTAAAGACGCATCACCTTCTGGAAGGCCAGTAGAACGACGAATGACGACTAAATAAAGGCATTCATTGTTACAAACTACCGAATGATAACTCGAAACCGCTGAAAGATTTAACTTATCGAATTCAGCTATTCACGACGACGTGAAACATCACTGGAGGAAAATCGTCCTTCATTTCTATTAAAAAAATAAACGAAGTTGAAGAAAAATATTGAAAATTTGAGTTTTTTTCAACTGAGGCTTCATATGAGAAGGGTTCGTAAAAATCGACCGATCCAACTCATTTTCAAGATCACTCTTTCTTGGACCAAAATTTCGCAAAAGCATGCTAAAAAGTGTTATTTGAACACAGAAATACATGGGCATACATTAGATTGATAGCCTGGCAAACAGACGAACCGAGAAGCTTATGAAAGATGACAAGCATTAGTAAAAGATGGGAATATCTCAAGTCCTAGCTTTCTTTTTGCCGGGGAGTGCCGCCTATGAATGTAACACAGTGATGGTCAAAAAGAAGTGAGGAACGAGAAAAATGATTACGAAATGACTACAGCCTTGTGGAAGGGAGACCAATTGATAAAGGTTCAGACTTTAGCGACTGAGAACACACTAAAGTTGCGACAAAACATGGTTAAAACGAATTGAGATTTTTGAAGCCGCTCCACCAACGCAGTAGTCATGACTCGCCAGCAAGCATCGCGGTGTAGAGCATAAAAACGTATATATAACTATACATAAATAATGCGAGCTTTGTATGAGTTTCACAATGTTATATATATCAAGTGCACAGATTTTCGACCGAGTGCGCAGATTTCGACGGATCTATTAAACGTCGTACAATAGCTTGTATGCATAATTAAAATACATGGGATCACTTCTACTTAAAGACTACAGATTGGGCATGTACCAACTAGGCTGCGGTGATTCTCTTTCTTTCCCCACATTTTGCTGACTGGCACAATGCTACACGAATAGCGAATATCTCCCAAATTAGAGGTCGTAGTAGAAGAGTGAAAAATCTTAAACGTATATAGGTTCCATACGCGTTACTGGAACAAAAATCATATAAAGTAAAAAATTTGAATTTATATTTACTGTGTCTGCTTTTGTTGCATAAAATTTTTTTTGCGCA